AGAGGCAAAACAAACAGCCCCCACGCAAGTAACCCTTTCCCAAGTACTCCCCTCTGCGAGTCATAATCATGCGTTCAGACTCAAACACTAATTTGATCCCAACCCTTACCTACAAAGACCCTAAGACCAAATTCCTTCGCAGAGAGGGAACATACATCACATTACTCAAAAATAAATATTTGCCAAAACAGAGTTTGATCTCTATGGTTCCTCTACCCCTTACCTCAGCCATACTGTCATTTCCCATGAAAACTTGCTCTCTTTGTCCTTCAGCAATTGATTGAAAGTTCTTGAAGAGCCATCTATTTGAGCATAAATGACGAGATGCTCTAGTATCCACGATCCATTCTTTAGAACCTTCCACAACATTTGCCTCCAGGTCACGACTACTGCTACCACTTCAGAATCTTCCAGCAGGTTGGCTTGGTTCCTGGCCTGGCCTTGGTTTCCCTTATGATAAGTTGCTGCCTTCCGGTGATAACACTACGCTGCACGATGTCCGTGCTTTCCACAGATGAAGCACACACCTCTTTTCCCTTGTTTCGAGTTCTTGTTGGTCTTGAACCGATTGCTATTGTTGACTTTAACGCCATTCATCTAGTTCTTTTTTTAACAACCACTCCAGATTTTGACCTGTCACCTTTTACACTTGTTTATATGACATTAGCCTTTAAATTTTCAGGGAAAGAAACAGACCTTTGTCTGAGGCGAAATGCCTCTTCGATGTTGATATGATTGACCATTTCTTCCTAGGTGCATTCTTTGGTCTCGTGCTTCATTTTGTTTTGGAACCGTGCCCTAGACTCAGACAGTTTCTCAACCAGAGCATAAGTTTGAAGCATGTCACTTACCGGAATGCCTTTGATTACTAGATCAGCAACCATGTTCTCGTACTCATGAACCTGCTCAATGATCGATCTTGAGTCCACCATTTTGTAGTTTAGCTAGCGAGCAACTGCATATCACCTACAAATTAGCTTGGTTCTTCATATTTACGTACCAGAAGCAGATTCACTCCTAACAGAAGAAACAACATGTATGACTCCAATCCCTTGATCGATAGAAGCCATTTCGTCCAAAAACTTCTTCTTCTTATTCTTCATTCATCAAAAGTTTGATGAAATTCTGAACCATCATAGAGAAAGAAAGAAGGGGAAATGGGAAGAGAGCCATTTGATTTGAGATAAACGGTTGGATATGGGTGTCATTTTTCAGGGGAAAATAGCTACTGACAATTATATGTTATAGGGTGATAATGTACTTATGTTTTTTTTTTTTAAATAAAATTTTCGAGAAATTATTTTTTATCAGAAAATACATTCACAATAAAAAAAATCCAATAATAATAATAAAAAAAAATTTTTATTTCATTTTTGGTCCTAGATTTATAGGTGGGGAAAATGGCACTTTTTCCCCCTGTGTTATATGCTTATAGCACTTTTTCCCCCTGAGTTATTCATGCATTCACATTTGCCCCCTCAATTATTATAGAAGTGGCGGTTTTTCCCCCTGATAATATTAAATGGACATTTCTACCCTTAAAACAAATATTTTATTTATTTCTCTTCTCCAACAAATTATTGCTTATACGTAGGGATGACCACGGTTCGGTTCGAACTGAACCAAACACTATAACAATCAAATTAAAAAATTTCGGTTATGATTCATAACATAACCCAATATTTGGGTTTCCGTTTATTAAAATCGTGAACTGGAAAAAAATGGATCCTGAACCGTGAACCGGAGGTTCAAATCGGAACAACTACTAGCAATAGCTTAAATTAGAATTATAATATTTGCAAATAGTGTATGTTTTTTTCCGCATTTATATTGACTCTCACATATAAGTATATATAATCGCGGTTTGAGTTTTATTTTGAACCGTCGGTTCATGATTTTGGATCCAATTTGAACGGTTGGTTCAAACTTTCTTTTAAAATTTTATTTTTTTATTTTTAAAATATTATAAATTCAACACTTAATGTATTTTATTTTTTCAAATTGTGGTTATAATTTGTTGGAGAAGAAAAATAAATGAAATATTTATTTTAAGGGTAAATATGTCCATTTAATATATTAGGGGGAAAAACTGCCACTTAAATAATTTAGGGGGAAAAAGTGCTATAAGTATATAACAAAGGGGGAAAAAGTGCCATTTTCCCTTTATAGGTGTCAGTTTATTTATTTATTTATTTATTTTTTTCAAAACATCTCCCTTTTGGTCACAGTATTATTGTGACATGACCATTTATGATCATCCGTCAACAAAACCGTTTAAATATATTTAAATACAAGAACATTTCGATCTATTCAATTCTAAGTGTTAATTTGTTTCATTTTTTGGTCCTAGATTTATGTGTATTTCACTGTTAGTCTTTTTTTTTTTTTTTTTCTTTCCAGAATATCCACATTAGTCCTAACATTATTGTGGCACGACCATTTTTGATCCTATACTCCTATATCAATATATATGTTTAAATGACATAAAAAATGACGTTATTAATCACACAAAATCATCAATTTTTCTTCTTGTTAATAGAACAATGCTAATGTTCTACATCTTCAAAAAAAAAAAAAATCATATATACACTAATCACACATTCAATGATAGTATAAATAATCAATAATTCATTGAGTTAACTGAAAAAAAATAATCTTAAGTGAGATTTACTGATATCTTAGAATTAAATTTTCATTGACCTGAAATTTTTTAAAGTTAAAGATTATATCAAACATGAAAATAATTTTTTTTTTTCATCCTTGGCTTTAAATTCTCAAGGAAAGTGCCAACTACCATGTAATGTGATGCATCTCGGTTACCATTCTAAATGTGATCGTAAGTTCGAACCCCGATGGTGAAGCTTAAATTCTATGGCTGGAAATATTTGAGAAAGTATAAAATAAAAGAGTAAATTTTAATTTTGGTCTAGTGACTATAAGGACTTTCAAAATGTTAATTTAGTACTTGATTATGCAATTTTTATCAATTTTGATCACTCCAGTCAAATTTTACAGAAAATTTTTAATAGTTAAAATAATGAGGGTATTTTAATATTTTTGCATCTATTTTCTCCCTCCCCTACAAATTCGCCAGAGAAGTTTGCCGGTAATGGTAAATTCAACAAAAAATTATTGAATTCTCCGGAGATGACGCCGGAAGGAGGAAGCAGCAACGTGGTGTCGCTACTTCCTTCCTCTTCCTCTTTGGTTTCGCTTTCTCAGTGATACTCAACTTTTTGCAGTTAAAATATCAAGGCACCAATCAGCCAGATCCATTTCAAACGCATCCAAGATCTATGCTAGTTGTCGTGAGTTCTCTGCTAATTTTTTGCTTCATTTATGGACTCAACCAGAGATTTTCTTCGCATTCTCTGTATCGAAGCTGTGAAGATATTGTTTGCATAGCTATGATGTTTTTTCCCCTTCTGTCATTACTGTCAACTGCTTCAGTTTTGTTCCCCGATTCAATCAGACCAGTTCTCTATGCACTCTGCGTACTGATTTAATGCTTCTTTCTGGCGTCATCTCCCCCTTGAGTTGTGACTTGCAGAGATTGACACCGGAAAAATTAAATTCGACAATAACTCAACTTAGGTAATTTTAGATTCAATAATTTTATGTTAAATTCACCATTATCGGCGACCTTCTTCGGCGAATTTGCAGGGGAGAAAGAAAAGAGATGCAAAAAGACTAAAATATCCTTATTATTTTAACTATTAAAATTTTCTGGCAAAATTTGACCGGAGCGACCAAAATTGATAAAATTGCATAGTCAAGGTCATGATTGCAGTAGGCGCTAGGCTCTAGTCGGGCGCCCGGGCAACGCCTAGCGCCTAGACGGAATCTAGGCGACGCTAGGCGGACGCCAAAAATATAGTGGAAGACTTGCAGTTTGACAATTTTAATGAGGATGTTTTCAACATTCAATCAAATAACACATCCAAATAAATGAAATAATGATAATTCATAAGTCATAACATCAAAAAAATATTAAAAAATAAAAATACTCAAATATGAAGAGCAAATACCAATTTTAATCCCACGAGTATTAACAAAATGACAATTTTGGCCCACATGTTTAATTCATACCAATTTTCATCCATGACTATTATTTTAGTGCCAAATTCATCACGATGGTCACCCCTCCGTTTAAACCATGCCAAAATCTAAAATTTCTTAGAGTATTTTCGTCAGTTTCAACGTAAGATCTCAATTTGAGGGTGATTAAAGGGATTTAAATCCTAAGATTGATCCCAATTCGTAGTTCTCATCTCATTCTACCTTAATTTGAGGAGGAAAATGGCAATTTGGGATTGATTTTAGGGTAAATCCCTTTATTCATGCTCAAATTGAGATCTTAATATGAAAAAGGATGAAATACCCTTAATAATTTCATATTTCGGCATGTCTTAAACAAAGGGTTGATCGGCGTGATGAATTTTGGCACTAAAACAATAGTCATGTATGAAAATTGGTACTAAAACAATAGTCGTGGATGAAAATTGGTAGGAATTAAATATGTGGACCAAAATTGTCATTTTACTAATACTCGTGGGATCAAAACTGGTATTTGCTCCAAATATGAAAAATACTCAAATACTTCAATCATCCAAATATTCAAAGTATCAAACTAGTCTACGAACGACTGGACCAGACGACATCGGATGAAAATGGTTAAAATTGAAAGAAATCGACCAACTCGGCCGAGTTGGTCGACTAGGCCGATTTTGCCGCCTAGGCGCTCGGCCGATTTTTGGGCGCCTAATAGTGAAAGCGAAACGGCTTAGGCGCCGCCTAGAGCGATTTTTATAACAGTGGTCAATATACTAAATTAACACTTTTAAAAGTGATAGACTGCAATGAACAGGATCTTTATAGTAACAGAATCAAAATTAAAAAATTTATTCAAAATAAAATATATATTACCTTATAAAGAATTATGACTATTTAAAAAAAAATTCCTAGGATAGTTACAATCCCTAAATCGTGAAGGATTCATCCAAAATTCAGACAGTCACTCTCAAATTCACCATAGGAAACAGGAAAGGCTGTTCTCTGACTCTGTCCGTCAATGCTCTGACACTCAACTCTCCTTCTTCCCTACCCAGTAGCCAACTACCCATGCACAAATATACACAAATTCGGACTTTCTGAACACCCTAGTCTGTTTCTCAATCACCCAAAGAATGGCATCAGTTGATGCTCAAAGCCGCCTCTCCATCCCCGACTTCCTCAATTTCTTGCCCACCGAACCAAAAGTCTCCTATTCATACAAACGGCCCTCCAGTGCTCACCTGCAGCTCTTCTGGACTCATCAAAAGCCTGAAACCCTTAAAGAAAAGATCAAATCTGCACTTCAGCTCTTAGACTTGTCTTACTTTCCAACTTTAGTTCAGTTCTGGGCACCCAAGATCATCAAAGATCAATGCCATCTTACCACTTCAGACCAACCCTTTGGTCTCACTGTTTTGCGCAAAGGTCTCTGTTCTTATAGAAAGTTGTGTGTAGGGTATGAGTATTTTGCTGGTGAGGAGCTAGAAGGGAATCTTGGGCCTCCGGGTCGGGTATTTAGAAATGGGTTTGATGAATTTTGTCCAGATGTGAGGTTTTATGACAAGGAAGATTACCCACTTAGGGAGAGTGCTTTAGGCTGTGGGATTGGGGGATCCTTGGCTTTGCCTGTTTTTGAAGCTACTGGGGAGAGGTGTATTGGGGTTCTGGAATTTGTTACTGTATGGGATGGGAGTTATTGCTTGACTGATTACATTTGGAGAATCAGAGATGCTCTAAAGGTCTATTTTTTTTTTTAGTAATTTGATTGATGTTTTCTGTTTCTTGAATATCTTGCTTTCGTTATATTAGTTCAGTAATCATTTCCTGTGCTTTAAAATTGCTGTGATGAATTTTCTGAATTTCATTGAACTTTAAAATTCCTCATAATCCAGCTCTATAAGATGTCTTTATAATTTTATATACACTAGAGGAGTGGAAATGCATTTAATACAAATTGAAATGAACTAATGTTTCAAAGAACTTGAGTCTTGTTTGTGATTAGTTAGTTTAATGTTGAAGAAGGGCTGAAGAGAGGAGTAGGGGCATTAGAATCTATGAAGTGGACTGCCTGACATATAAAACAATTGCTCCTCAAGTTTTTCTCCCACATATATATTGTAGAATGGAATTCTAGATATAGTTTGATAATAGAAATGCAATGTCCTTAAACTCTCGCAAGTTAAGAATTCTTTTTCGGTAATGTTGTAGCAAATAAAGAAACATTTCTTCTTTGTGTTGCTGGAGCTGAAAAAGGGTGGCTTAATCTATTATACTTTTTGGTATCTAGGGATACTGATGTTTGGAAGCGGGCTTAAGCTAGCTTTCTAATAGTTATTCTTCAGCTGTTCACTTTGCCATAATTGCTGCAATGAAAATGGAGTTTTGAAGCATTTATCTTTCCATAATTATGCTTGAGTAGCTTCAGGGAGTGACTAAAACTAATTGCATTTCTTGGTTCTTACCTGGTAGAATACCATACTTCTTGCGGCCATAATTGGCCTTGGATATGGAGCAACCTGAGGGGCCTATAATTCAGCGAGGGGATTAGTCATTGTGTCCGACGGTGGAAACCCTGGGTTACACCCAAAAATATTTCTTGCTGACATAATTTAAAAAATGTGCTTTTTGTTTGAAGTAATAACTTTATTGCGAAAGCTTTAACTATCACTCCCATGCCCTATACAAGATCATACTTTTAGAAAATCATCATGTCTATGTATGAACATTATGCTTTCCTTGATACAATCATCTTTTTCCCACTTCTTTTGGATATTTAGAGAATTGTTACTAATATGAAGCATTGAAGATCCCGTAAAAACCATATTTCTTTCTTGCAGGGAGTAGGTTTGAGATGTTTAGATGTCTGTCGGCCCTTTGATATCAATGGAGTGAGTTCTGTTAACAATTTTCCCTACTTGATTTTCCTCAAGCCTTGTTGTTGTGCTTTCTGTTAACGATTTTCATTTCTTTGTATACTCTTTCCTTGAAAATTCATCGAAAGCAGGGTTCCGAAAGGCTCAAGGACACACTTGAGGAAATCGAGAAGGTATTGGAAGTGGTTTGTAATAAACACAAAATGCCTTTAGCCCAGACCTGGTTCCCGAGTTCTGATGGAATCCACACGGAGAGTGTAATGATGACAACCAAAAAGGGATCGTATGTGTTAGGCAAGAGGATTTCTTCCTTCCAAAAGGACTGTACGTACTTTCCTATAAAGAAGGGGCAGGGGGTTGTTGGCAACGCCTTTTTGTCTCGAAATTTGAGTTCCTGCAAGGATTTGACTTGCTTAAGTATAAACGAGTACCCCTTTGCCCCCGGTGCACGGAAGGTTGGTTTAACTTCCAGTTTTGCAGTTTGTTTGAAGAGTATGGATTCTGAAAACGATGTCTATGTCATAGAATTCTTTCTATCAGACCAACCGGCTTGCAGCCAATCACAGACCTCGCTGGATTCACTTGCAGTAACTATTAACGAGCATTTCCATAGTTTTAATATTGCTGCTGCAGAGAACTTTCATAACGATGTTAAGATGTCTGAGGATGAAAAGCTTGAAGATCCACCGAGTAAGGAGAAGATGGTGGCTTTAGAAGGTGGAGACACGGGGAGTGATATTGATGCTAACTTAACGAAACTCGAGTCATCAGAAGATCAGGGTGGTGTTCACTTAGGCGACGATGAGAGCCAAGGAAACAATACGTTAGATGCAGATCAAAAAGGCGTTGGTTTCGGTTCTCAAGAGAAAGAAGACAACATTCAGCCATCAGAGACGGGAGATGGTAATGCCAACTCTTCTGAGTGCATTCCAAGCAAACGTTTAACTTCTGAGCATGAATCTGATCCCGGTGGCAAGAAACAAAAGATAGAATCATTCCCGATGGAACAGTCTTGCGATGATACTACTCCAGCCAACTGCCCTGATTCTGTTTCTTCCCCGATGCCACAAGCTACAACCTCGGAAGATAAAACTCGCATCCCAGTAAAGGTGGTCCACAAAGATGTTATCATAAAGTTCCTGCTGTCTCTTTCATCAGGAATCGTGGATTTCGAGGGTGAAGTTATAAGCAGGATGAAGTTAGAAGCCAAAAGCTTTCTCATCAAGTGTCAAGACAAAGACGAGAATTGGCTTCAAATGCAGAGCGATATGGATCTGCAGAATTATATGAACACCATGAGGACATCGGGCCAAAGCACAGTTAAATTTTTTGTCGAGCTAATTACCAATTAGCCTCCTTAATCTCACTGGATGGAATTATGGAAACATGTCTTCACTTGTGTAATTCATACTTCATTTCCTTTGGTTTGTTTTCAGTTATGGCAGAACTTATCTTTGAAGCTTTAAATCTCTTTCTCTGAGTTCTCTAAGAAAATCTGAGAAATTGAGGAAGTTGTTAGTGAAGTTACAGGACTGGAGAATTAGATAAAGATTTTACCTTACTACAAGATAACATCCTGATGGCTACATAATGAAAGATTGATTAATCAATACATAAATTTCATCAATGGATATTAGTTTAATTGATGGCAAATTGAAGCCTTGTACCAGGTAAATAGCATTAGTTTATTATACTGTGTATAAGTTTCAAACCTTTTAAGACTAGAGAGGTTTGACATGAAGTGCCATTACTTACGAAACCTAACATTCTTTGTTTAAACTTGCCCACAAAACCGGAATCTCTTACCCCGGGACTCCTACATTTCATCTCGACAGGATTTGTAATCACGGTAACTCAGTGATCTATTAGCTAAGAGGATTAGTACCTAGTGCCCATAAGGAGCCACTGCATTAGGTGTAATTTCCACACTACGGCTATCGAGCTCAATCTTGTGTCTTTGTTTAAATTGAGAGGACATGTGATGATTCTCCTACACTGCTGCTATTGACTCAATCATGTGTCTTTGTTTAAATTGAGAGGATGGGTGATGATTCAGTGACAAATTGATGAGATGGTGTAACTCACATTGCTGCTGTTGGACTCGATCTTGCCTCTTTGTTTAAATTGAGAGGACGGGTGATGATTCAATGGCAAATTGATGAGATGGTGTAACTCCCACACTGCGACTATCGAGTTTGATCTTAGGGGTGGACATTTTGGTTCAAATTATCCGAATCGAGCCAAACCAAACCGAACGGTTAGGTTTTGGTTTATTATTAAAAATCGATCAGTTCTATATTTTATAAAATGAATGGTTTCGGTTCGATTCAGTTAAAAACCGAACCGAACTAAAAAACCGAATGATTTTTAACACACCCACACACACACAAATTTTTATATTTACAAATTTATCTAAATATATATATATATATATATATATATATATATATATATATATATATATATATATATATATATATATATATATATATATAAAATCCCCAATTTCCTAACCCAAATTTTCACAATTGTTCTTTGTTCTCAACTTTTCTCCGCAAGTTTATGACGTTGTTGTCGGACGGCAGACATAGTTGAAAATGTTGGTTCGGTTTGGACTTATTTTAGTTTAAGAAATTTGAAATTGCATTATGGACTTGTTGTTTACTTTTTTCAAATTTAAATTATTAGTGAAAATAAATAAATAGTTATATGTGCAAGAAAGCTAGGAGATGTTTGAGTATTCAAACCGGACTGAAATCCGAACCAAAACTAAACTATTTCAAATCGAACTGAAATCCGAATCAAAACTGAACTATTTCAAGTCGAACCGAAATCATTGTTGGAAAAAAAAATAGCTTATATAATGACATAAAATGTTATAATCTGTGGCTATTTTGTGGTACAATTAATAGTGGAGTTCACTTTCGATTTGGGTCGGGTCGAAGTGGATTCGGGTTCTTCGCAATGAGACGAAGAGATTGATATATTGTATGCTCAAAACAGATAATGGGTAAATGAGAAATTGATTCTCAAAGTAGACCCATTTGAGTTGGAAAAGTGAAGGGAAAAAGCTTTAAAGTAATTTTTGTCTCACATTGGTTTGGGAAGTGGGTTTACACCACTATTTATACAAGAGCCTTTCTAAGGTTCATTAAATTGTATAGTAAAGGCTCTCTCTTGCGCATTGAGGAGTGAAAATCAAATTTACTCATGTATGTAGGCATGAATGTCTTTTCATATAATTTTTCGGTCACAATCCCTGTACTGTAGTGTTTTTTTTAGTTTAGTCCCTGTACCTTAATTTTGTTCAATTTAATCCACTATTGAACTTGTGTTAATTGTAACAATTGACTATCAAAAATGTTAATTTAGCACATTGACTTTGCAATTTTTATCAATTTTGGTCAAGCCGGCCAAATTACTGGCTAAATATGACCGGAAAATTTTAAGTCAACAATTTAACTTAAATGGGAGGGCAAAATTGACATTTCACGTTCACTCCAATTTGGGAAAGCTACCTCCGCGGCGGCGAAGGCGCCTGCACAGCGACCTTCTGGATCGCTGTCTACCAAAAAGACTGGCGGTAAGATCACTGACGAGTTCACCGTCGCTGGCTCTGTTGGGAGCGTTTGTCAGGTTATTGGTGCCGTTGTTGATGTAAGATTCGATGAAGATTTGCCGTCGATCCTCACAGCGCTGAAAGGCTTGTCCGGGGTCAAAGAGTCCTCAATACTGGCTCTCCAATCACTGTAATTCCACCATACTTGCTTCTTCTGTGTTTGCATTTGACTCCATTCCACCATACTCGGCAGCGGAGATATTCCTCTCGGTCGAAAACTGGCAGTGATATTCCTCTTGGCCGGATGGCGGTGATGGCGGATCGTGGTGGTTTGTAGCTGGGAAGCCGTGAAGGACTGCTTCACCACCAACAACAAAGTCTTGGCCGCCTGGATTTCGCCGTCGGGAAATACCTCGCCTATAACTACGACGTGTTTAGCCTCGACACCAACAACCCCTACTGGCGGAAAATGCGAAAGTTCGCCGTGACGGAACTGCTATCGTCGCAGAAGCTCGATAAACTCAAACATCTCCGTGTTTCGGAGGTGGAGACCAACCTGAAAGAGCTCTACATGCTGGTCCCCAGTGGCTCTTCTTCGGCGAAAACAATCGACATGAACGATTGGTTCCGGCAGTTAACGTTGAATTTGATCGTGAAGATTGTCCCCAGGAAGCGGTTCAAGTTTAGGGTGAAGGAAGACGACGATTGCGATGAGTACAAAGCAACGGGTTCGGGTTTAGTTTCAGATACAGTAACACCACAAGGCTCATTAATTATTGCCTCCATTGATGGGCCTCTCTGGAAGAATTTCTGCATCAGAAAGTTTGGTGGTTTCTTTGAATGGAGTTTTGCCATCTCTTCTTGAAAGTTCAGGGACCAGAGTGCTTGATGGCTTAGCTTCCTAAAGTTTTGCCTTGATAGGTCAGTAACAACCTCTGACTGTCCAGAAATTTCCAATATGGAGTTGGAGGTCTTCTTTAGTCTTTTCCTTACTTTCTCAATCTCATTTCCTTGGTGCTCAGAGACAGATTTTAGCGAACGATTAATGGCTCTTCTTCGGCGAAAACAGCCGACATGAACGAGTGGTTTCGTCAGTTAACGTTGAATTTGATCGTGAAGATTGTCGCCGGGAAGCGATTCAAGTTTAGGGTGAAGGAAGACGACGATTGCGATGAGTACAAAGAGATGCATCATATCATTGAGGTGTTTAACGAATTCTTGTACCTTAACAGCAGTTCGTGTTCTCCATTTTCGTTCTGATCTGGATCGCTTTCGTGTTCGGAGATGCGGGAGGGGAGTGACTTTGGTCAAGGATAGCTTACCCAAATTGGAGTGAACATGAAATGTCGATTTTGCCCTCCCATTTAAGTTAAATTGTTGACTTAAAATTTTCCGGTCATATTTGGCCGGCTTGACCAAAATTGATAAAAATTGTATAGTCAAGGTACTAAATTAACATTTTTGATAGTCAAGTGTTGCAATTAACACAAGTGCAATAGTCAGTGGACCAAAATTGAAATTTTCTCTTTAGAACAATTAAAGACAATACTTAACACCGTTACTTTTTTCCGTTCAGTTTGCCAACGTGGCATTTGATTTGTCATGTCAGATTGTGTGATGTGGCATTATTGCCATATCAGATTTTGTGATGTGGCATAAAACAATATTATTTTTGGACCAAAAAGGAGTAAGATTCAAACTCACAACCTCTTTATCTAAAGATTGAGAGCTCTACTACCAAGCTACACATTAATCTTGTTACATGACAGTTAAAATTTGTAATAATAGTAATTTGTCGGCACGTGGGCACCAAGTTCTCCACCACCATGTTTTCCAGCAAAACACATAAATTTTTGCACTAGTCAAAGCAAAATCAAGAAAAGCATGAACTTTTACACTATGAGCCAAAAATAATTGTTTGACAGGATATTGAGAACATAACATCTTAAATAGTAAGACAAATATTCATTCATCACATAACATCTTAAATAGCATCACAATGTACTAATTTTAAACAAGCCACCAAATTTTTGATTGTCTAACACAAGTACCCAAACCGTATTAAACACTAATACACAATAATAAAAAAATAATTCATGAATCCAACGAGTAATTGATGCTTTCTCGGGTTGAAAATGGTGTAGAATCTCTTTCACGAATTGAAGACTGTAGTTTGTCCTTGGCTTTTTCAAGCTTTATTTCCTATATAACAAGCAAAGAAAATGTTAAGCTATAATTAAACACTTATGAACACATTTAATTTGCTTGGAAAATTAAAATTGTCACTCACCTGTAGTTTATCAAGTGAAATGTATTGTTGAGTATTAGATGTTGCAATTACGTATTTATTAGATTTTCCTGACTAGTTTTATAAAAAAGAAAATTAGTTCTATGTGCTAAATAAAAAGTGAATTAGTACTATACAAATATATATAAGGCAAAACTTTTTTGGTTACATTAACAACTGAAAATTTTTTGATTGTCTGATTGTTGCATTTTGTGTATGATGAGATGAACCAGCTTGAGTAACGTGCAATGAATCTCATCATACATAGTGCATTTAAAAATAATCTCTCTACTACTGCAACATATACAGTGGGACATTTCAAAATTTATTTCATAAATGATAAACAACAAATAAAATCACAAACAGACATCATATATATATATATATATATATATATATATATATATATATATATATATATAGATTTTGGATTCGGTGAGGTTACCTTTGTCAGGCGAGGTGGTAAGGCTTGATCTGGTACGTCTATTTGTTTTTTGGATGGATGAGATTTGGCTGAATAAATTGCCATGTGCGTGAGATAAGTTTGCATGTGGGGGTGTTGATGTCTTTTTGGGGGTGTTTTTATTAGGGTGTAATAATTGATTAGCAGATTTTATGGGCTTGTGCACTACTAATTATGGTATTTATCGGATGATTTATTTTAC